AGCGCTTTCAATTCTCTATTAATCCAGAGAGGTTTTGTGTTGATTTGAATGCTTCCCGGTTTTATGATTGGAATAAAGAGTTTACATCTTTCTTCATAAAGGCTTAACCATTTTTCGTAACATTTGTTTATTTCTAAACCTTTTAATTCATTATCCCAGTTTAAGATTTTAAAATAACTATTTAGATCTTTTATTGATACAAAGTGTTCAGCACTCGCTGAGCCCCACAATGCTATGCTGAGCAGATATCATTTTTGGCACATTCAGTAAAATTGTTATACTTTGTGAAAAGATTAGTAATGAAGGAACCTTAAATACTTTCAAACTGGTTGTAGAAATTAGGCAAAAAATACCCAATTTCATCATTTTATCAGCAATTTTTTGCGCAAGTTTGTTGTCAAAATTAATTCCATCAAATTTCAATTAATTTAGTTAAAATTGATTAACATTTTTCACAATATTTAAAAATTTTTACTTTGACTTAAAACAGTTTTGAACACTTGAACGTTTTTCACCTAAATAATACTGACATATCAGGGTTTTTTTTTCACCTAAATAATACTGACATATCAGGATTTTTTTTTCACCTAAATTATACTGACATATCAGGAAACCGTACAAACAAGTAGTTAATTTTTTTCTGAAAAATGTTTGTAATGAAACCGTATCGCTTAAGATTCAAAAAATTTATTTTTACCAAAACCGTACAATAGTAACAACTTTTAGGCACTCAGATCGGTAAGAAACACGAAGTTCTTTTTCTAAATTTAAAAAATTCAGGAGGAGGCAAATGCTTCCTCATGCGCCCCCTATATATATATATATATATATATATATATATATATATATACATATATATATATATATATATATATATATATATATATATATATATATATATAATATATATACTTACATACATATACATATATATATATATATATATATATATATATATATATATATATATATATATATATATATATATATATATATATATATATATATATATAATTACATGTACGCCCGAAAAGATGAAGGCTACTGAATTTTTAAAATTTACAGTATCGGACAAAACATGGTGGACAAACTCAAATTTAGAACAAAAGTTGATCAAAAACTTAAAAAAAATAGTAAAACAATTGTACATATTAATTTTTAAGTAGTTTATTATGCTGTTAACAAAATTTAAAACTTTTGAATCATTAAAAATCAACAATAACGTTTAATAACACATTTTCTTTAACAAACTACATTTTTCTTTGAACAAAACAAGGTGGACATTCAAAAAATTGACTGAAAATCTAAAAAAATTCAAAAATTAACTTATCATTATTCAGTAAACTTCAAAAATAAACTTAATATTTGGTAGGACCTCCTTTACTTTCAATTACTGCTTTCATTCTTTGAGGCATAGACTCAATTAATAAGTCAACAATTCTCATGTCAATCGCTCGTCAGGCCTTCCGATTTGTTCAAATCACCAAAGGAAAATGTCGTTTATAGAGAAAAATGTTATAATTTTTTTTGTGATATTAAGTATGATTCAAACGTTTTAAATTTTGTTAAGAACATAAAAACTATTTAAAAATTAATATGTACAATTGTCTTACTATTTTTTTTTTAGTTTTTGATCTACTTTTGTTCTGAATTTGAGTTTGTCCACCGTGTTTTGTCCGATACAGATTTATGTTTGTGTTGTGGTTGTAACAGACTCTCAACAATATTTAACAAACTTAATTAAAGTCATATTATTTACTGATGTAATCAAATTACAAAAAAAAAAAGTCACCAGACCCCACCCATTGAGGGGTCTGGGCGCATATAAAAAGCAATTTTTCAGACACCACTTGATAAATGTGAATTTAAAATTATTATTTTTTCTATAAATAATTGACAGGAATAGGGAACAAAAATAATTCATAGTGGGCGGACATAAAACATGGCATTGTAGCGCATTGTGAATAATCATAGCGCCATCACTAGTAAAATAAAATTAAAAAAAAAAAATCAACTACTAATCTACACTACTCGCTTGAATGTTTTACGTTTATTATCAACGGTATTTTGATAAAAATTTCATTTTTTACTTGTCATTTATTTATTATTTATCATGTATATACTAGTCATTTTAATAAATCAACCGATGATTATATTTAATTTACTGATTCTTTTATCCGATTTATTAAAAAAATAAATAATTAAAGTACTTATCAAAATTTGTCTGAATGTGAAAATCTGAAAAATACTGATCATTTTATTAGAAAGACAGATAAAAATAAAATCATTTAATATTGTTTGACATAAAAATATAATTTGTTAAAAATGAACACAATTATGCACACATGTGTAGATCATGTAAGTTTATCTAAAGTGATCATCATAGGTCAATATTTAAATCTTGCATCTGATAACATCCAAATTAAACGATTAATAGTGTTTGTATCAATTTTAACGTAGATTATTCTTAGATTCTTCCTATTATGGACGTATATTTTCACCAATTTTCAACCATTAATATTAAATTAATCACTTTTCTACATAAAAAATGTAAGGATATTAATTAGAAATTTTAACTTATATTATTTGTACTTATAAATATCAACTTAAAATTAGTACTTAGAAAAAATAAAGTAACCTGAAAACATTCATTTTTGGTCTTGTCCAACAATTATGCACTGGGTACCTCTCATCAAAAAGTTTCACTACGCAATCAAAAACGTTATAAAAAACTTATTAGTTGATATAAATATAAAAAAATTCATTATTTATTATAAATATGAAAAGCTAAGAAATAAATCAAATATGAATACACACACTAAACTAAAAAATAATAGCAACCAATTTAAAAATCAATATTTATCTAGCAGGAACAACTAGCCTACCTTCTCGAGAAACATAAAATAATTGATTTCCATTTAAAAAGAGGAAAAACAAATGATTTTTCTTTTCTTCAAATTTATAATAATTTTTGATAAATAGAACGAAGTCAAGTTTATAAGGTGATAATTAAGTTAAACGTTTATCTAAATTGATGTCAACTAAGTAGAAATGGCGAAAAGAAGTATTTTTAAAATACGTTTTAAAAAACGTTTTATATTGAATAAAACCGATTTTTTTTTATTAAAAAAAAAATTAAAAAACCGATCGTCCAAAAATAAAAAGGAATAAATTGATTAAAATAGTTTTATCTAAAAATGTTTAAAACATAAATAGAAATCCATAGTTCTTCAAAAATAGAGTATAATAGAGATTTACTGTTTTATAATTATAAATAATATAAATTAGATTCTCAATAAAAGTAACAAAATTAAATTATAAAAAAAGGGAGAAAAAGACAAATCATTGCATAAGCACGTGAGATAACTACAGCATAAAATATGCCATATCCAAGGGGTCATAATCATTACTGGGTTGATCAAAATGAAAAACTCAGCATGAAACTAGTAGTAATTTCTTTAAATAACTATTCCAGCATTCATAGCCTAGTAATAAAATATTAGCAACTTTTCAAACAACGATTCCAGCGATTTGAACGCAATAATAAACTTAAAGCAGCTTCCTCTAACAAAAATCCAAAAAAATATATAATATTGTTAATTGATTATTAATATACAGTAAAAAGGGAAAGAAGTTTTATTACTTGGGTTTATTATTATCTGTTAATTTAATATAAGTTAATTTAAGAGATTTGCTAGACAAGAAAAAATTAGTAAAAGAAAATTCAAAATTTATTAACGACTTAACTTACAATGTAACTACTTAAAATAGGAGGAGATTAAATATCTAACAAGTAGATATAGATTAAATAACTAACAATTAGGTATAGATAAAATATCTAACAAGTAGGTATAGATTAAATATCTAACAAGTAGGTATAGTTTAAATATCTAACAAGTAGGTAGAGATTAAATATCTAACAAATAGATAGATTAAATGTCCTACAAGTAGGTAGAGAATAAAAATCTAACAAATAGGTATAGATTAAAAATTACAAAAAACAACAGGTTGATAAAAACTTTAAAAACAAGTTTATATAGGACTAAAGCGAGTTCTTTGATTTAATACATTTAATACATATAAAATAATTAAAGGAAACATGATACATTCTTCTTATATATATATACATATACATACCTCTTTAAAGTCTTCATAAAATTGATATAATATCGATTTACTACTTCATAAAATGCAACACTTGAAATCTTAATGGTTGATCAATAACTTCATATTAAACACGTCTTTACCAATAACAGACTTCGTTAATTATTTCATAACTATGGTCACTTAAAAGGTGGCTACCGTATTGTATTAAACATAAATGCAGTACTCTACCATCAAATTTAAATTTGATGGTGTTCAACTATTTGATGGTATTCTACTGTTTAGTTCACTAATAAACATGTTAAAATTTTTTTTAAAAAAGAGAATGTGTTGTGGTGTTCAGTTGAAGAGTTAATGTAAGTAATTTAAATGGAATTTAAACATAATAAACATTTAAAAGGTATCCAAATTTTTTTAATAAAAAAAAAGGGTTTACTTCAAAAATGTGGACTTAAAAGTGGCACGTTTAAACATGTCTTTTAGTGCGTTCTAGCTTAGATGACCAAGTATTTAAGAAAAAAAAAAAAAAATCAATAAAAAGCAGAACAAAAAAGTTTAAATATTGCTTTCATAATCTGTGTTTGATTTGTTACCACAAAGAAATGAAAACAAGTTAAAACCAATTAATACGTTTTGAAAGTTGAAAAGTTATGTTTATTTTAGTTAAAGAAAACAAAATTACACATTAATTAGAATTAGAAGATTTTATATTATTAATATCATTAAAATATTTATAGCTCAAGCATAACTGAAAAGAAGCCTTTTGAACAACATATGTAATAATTGAAGATAATAAGTTGAAAATGAAATTTTATACATCTTTGTTATTAATGAAAGAAAAATTTAAATTAAAAAGTTGCAATAAAAATGTAAAAATAAAGGAACATAACACAAAATACATGAATGACCATACGATAGGTCAGTATTAAAATTTCTGAAAATAAACAACATAACAATTTTTCCAAATGTTTTAGCTTGGTCTTTATTATATCCATAAGTATTAAAAAACAAGTTGTGTTCAAACAGCAATTCGTTTCCAGGATTCGCCGGTGCAACCTAGAAAGGACATTTATGGTAAACATCTAAATTCGAAAACCTACATATATTCAAAAGGTTTGTGCGAAACAAGCAATAAATTAAATCTTACAAACAACTTTTCACAAAATATTAAAAAATTATTTATTATTCTTTTACATTTAAAAATTTGGTATTGAATGGTTGCTGCTAGAAACTTTAATGGTAGGTATTAACTGGTTGGTAGTGGAAACTTTAATATTTGGAACTAAGCAGTTGGTAGTGGTTAATTTTAATGGTTGGAACTAAGCAGTTGGTACTGGATCATTTTAATGGTTGAAACTAAGCAGTTGGTACTTGGTCATTTTAATGGTTGGAACTAAGCAGTTGGCAGTGGATAACTTTAATGGCTGGTACTAAGCAGCTGGTAGTGGGTAATTTTTATAGTTGATTTTAAAGGCTGGTAGTAGTAAATAGAAACATAATGACATAATCAATGATTGCAACAAAAACTTTTTATATAATTGAGTTGAAGATTAGGAGAGTAAACCAAAAATTAGGTAAGAAAAAGAAATGATAAAAAAAAATCAAATATTTGCAACCTTAAAAACTAGAGAGTGCTAAGTGATAAAATAATTAAGCACACAATAGTACTAAAACTTAATAGTTATAAAAGCCAATAAGAAAGATAGTTTTATAATAAAAAATAGATGTAATAACATTGTTTTTTTTTGCTTTCAACATAATAATATTGTTATTTTTATCAACATAATCAGAACTAAACTGTATTAAATTAATACATCATTTTTAGTGTAGGTAGGTAGGTAGGTAGTAGGCTATTAGTTGTCACAGACATAGGTTTAATGCAGATACATTATCATTAAGCAAAAACAATTTTTCAATTAGGTCAACTAAGCCAGGGCTTGTAAAGATTGAAAGAAAATTTTTTGTTTTTTTTGTTTACAACAAACACAAAACATTGTAAAATATTGTTTTCTGTAACGTAAATAGGCACATCAGCTATACAATGGTTAAAAAATATTTTTATTCCATGAGTTAAAGCATTATAAGCAGCTAATAACATTTAAACAACCATAGCTAACTGCTAACACAAGTTTTAAAACTGTTTCAACCTATACATCCTTAGTTTTTCTTGTTAGTCTCCTTAGTTCTTATTTGGTTATTATTAATTTCAAGACAAAATGGGTTTTTAAAAGTATTAAATTGCATCAACTTTAAAGTAGATTGTTATATACTATTTAAAAGTATTTGTCAAGTTTATAAAAACTAATTATGCAGTGTTACATATTATGATAGTATGAACTCTTAAGAAAATGAGCTGCAAATTAAATTGATGTAGCTTTTATGTATTGTCAATATAAGTTTATACAAATCTGATTTAATTGACCATGAACTTAACCTGTCATCATATGTACACATAAAATGACAAAAACAAAAACAACAACAACAACAAAAGTTAGTAAATCTTACTTAATTTATTGACATCATGAAAGTAACTAAAAAAAAAAATTTTTCAAAAGTATTATACAAAAATAAGATATTTAAGTTTTAAAGTAACTAAACTAATAATATCAAAGTAAAAAATAAACAAAGTTTACCAGTTTCTTCATTTTATTAACATTTGAAATATGAGCAGTTTGTTTTGAGTGAAATTCTTTATCTGTGGAGTCTGGAAGAAATGTCTGACAAGCAGCACAAACAAAACCAGTCAAAGGAATAAACCACTCTGAAAAATAAAATAATATCAAAATTCCAACTTTAAAACTAAAATTCAATATAGAGAAAAGCTTATATTTTGTATTTTTTATTACAACTAATTATGACTTTAAATGTATATACTATTTTTTTCCTACAAAATCTAAACAGATTATTATTTCAGTTTATCATTTAATTAATATCTTATTTTACTTTGATCTTTTTCATCAAGAAAGTCATCTTTTGTTAGGCTTTTCTTTGAAGAGCTTGCGGAAAAATCTTGTGGAGCTTGTCTTTTGCTTCCAACAAGAGGAGTAGCTTGATCTGTTAGCTTGTAACTAGCAGGAAAATCTTTGTTATTCTCTTTGTGCCAATGTTCAATTGCACACTGTTTGGTTCTTTCCATAAGGTCTAAAATCTTTTAAAATTAACAAAAATTAAAATCAGTTAAAAATAACTAAAAATTGTTAATAGTAATAACTTTCAAAATAATTAGTTATTAAAAAAAGAATAAATAAAATTAGATATTATTATATTCAAGTTGTATTTTAATAAAAGCTCTAATTTAAATATAAATACAATCACTAAAAAAGAGAATTTTAAGCAATCCCTATTGTTGTTAACTAATAAAATTATTATTATTTGTTGTTTACTAATAAAATTATTATTTGCTGTTTAGTAATATATACAAAAATAAAATAAAAATAAAAGCCAGATATTATGAAAAAACTTATAATGTAATACTTAAAGTCTATTTTTAATTTAAGGGTTGATGTGTGTGTAAATATATATTATTATTATTATTATTACTATTATGTATTTTGCCATAAAAAAAATATTTACAAAATTAGACTTGAATAAAATGTATATACATGGCAGAGGCAAGAAGAAGATGAATTCAGTCTTATTACCAAGCCCATTCAAAACAAGAATGTAAATAACAACAAAAAAAATTACTGTTATCACAATGTATATATATATATATATATATATATATATATATATATATATATATATATAATATATATATATATATATATATATATAATTTCTTTTTTCTTCAACTTTTATTTATTAAGATTTCGAATTTAAAAATAAATAAAAATGCGATAAAACATGAACATCAAAGAGAAGTAAAGATTCAAATTAAAATCAAAAATAAAATATGAGCAAAAATAAAGTAAATAACAAGTAAAAAACAAGTGATTAATCCTATTTAAAAGTTTCAGAGGAAGTCTTGTAAATTGCCAATAATCGAACGTCTATTTTTTATTTCATTTTTAAATTGTTCAAGGGAAAACTTTTTTTTAAACTCATTATTCAATAGTGTGTTCAATAATTTAGGTCCTCTAATTGCAATCGAGAACATAGTCACAGAATATGTTTTAGGTTGAATATAATTGTTATTTGGAAATCTTGTTGTGGGTATAAATGATTTATTTCTCAAAAAATGAGTTGAATAAAATGGGTGCCGTTTTATTATCTAATTTGAACATAAATATAAGAATATGATATAAATTAAGTTGAAATACTTTGAGTATTTTGAATTTATTAAAAATAATTTTAGTGAGCGAGAAGCAATTTCCAATAATTTTAACTGTGTATTTTTACTTATTTAGAAGCTTTTTATTTTTAGATATATTATTGCTGCACCAAGCAACGTTGGCGTAATTTAGATAGCAATGAATAAAAGAAAAGTAAATGAATTTCAAACAATTTTGGTTTAACAACTGTTTGGCTTTGTGTAAAAGGCCTACATATTTTTTAGGATTTTATTTTGAATTTAAAGGATGTGCTCCTTCCACGTTACATTTTTATCTAAAACTACACCTATAAACAACAAAGAACGCTCTCTTTTGACATTATATAGTTTTTGTTACATATTTATATATTATATATATATATATATATATATATATATATATATATATATATATATATATATATATATATATATATATATATATATATGTTTTTATGCTTATGCATTTATATATATGCATGTATGTAAGTTTGTACTTTTAAAAATATTTCAATGATTCAATGTATTAATGGACTAAAAGCAGAAATAAACTGGTTAAAGCAAAATAATCACCATCGTCCCCAGCATAAAAGGTTTTGTCCAACCGGTCCAAACCTACATACCAGCGATAGACAAATTATATGCAATCCATGCTAAAGAGTAGGGCTTGCCTAAAGATCGTGCCCAAAACAAGTTTCCCTGTTACCGGAAAAAAACGATTATTGACCTATATCGCCGCAACAAAACCAACAGAACCATAACCCTCAAAAATCAACTAAATTTGGTAATACTTTTTTCCATAAGGGACAATCCTAAAACGATACTCGAGGAAATAGACAGCATTTTGATAATTGAATCCCTTCACGGCACACTAATACTCTCAAATCGGATCCAGAAGAGTACTCATTCTGATGGACACTGGTACCAGGTGCAGTGTATTGGATAAACCACTTTTAAAAAATCAAAATCGAGTTGCCAAACCACTACCTTATTATGGTGCTCTGAAAACAGCTAATGGAACGCCACTCCATATCCTTAAAAAAACCTTATGCCCTATTGATATTGGAGGTAGTATATTTGAACATGAAATGCTAATAACTGAAGATTTAACACATCCTGTAATTTTAGGGTATGATTTTATGAGTCACTTTAACGTTGGGCTTGACTTGACTTGGGCAGAAATCATTTAGTTACATTTGAAGGAAAATTTAATGTACCCATGGTTACAAAATCCATCGACAATAAAGTTGCCAAAGAAGAAACTTTTGATAATACAATAGTTTGTATATATATATATATATATATATATATATATATATATATATATATATATATATATATATATATATATATATATATATATTGGGAAAGTTTTTGATTGTTAGGGATTTATCAATTACAGACACTTAACACCATTAGTGACACTAATGGAGGTGATGTAACAAAGAACTCTTTGAAGGAACATTGAGAGTGTCCTTAAGTTATTTGATCATATGGATGGCCAATTTATGGATAAAGTCAACAAATATTTAACATATTTTCAAGTTATTAACAAACTTAAAGTTATATATTAATGGTCATTTTCAACAAGACGAAATATTCTCGCGAGTTGAAACATCTGCTGCTTCATGCAGTAACATTTTTTCCACAGAAATTTTCTTATCAGAGGTTAGCATTTATTTTTCTAAACATTCTTAAAAAAAAATTATAACAAATACTATTTTTGAACAAATTGTATTAAAAAAATATATTTTAATTCAATTATTTACCATATTTTCAGATTAGAAAGTATCTATAAGTTTTGTGTTAAAATGAATGAGTGGAAAGAAATTTCCACATCTTTCAAAGTAGAAAGTAAGTAAAAATAGTAATAATAGGTTTTAGATAAACATTAATATTATATACATATACATAAATGTTTATATTTTTTGTGTTTCAGTTGAAGTTTTGCAACAAAAATTAAAAAACCTAAAAGATACTTTAAAAAAATAGTTCAACAAACGTAATAAGATGACTAAACCAGGTGCTGGTGCAACAGCTTTATCTAAATGTAAGTACTATGAAGAAATGTTACTTTTGCATGATGAGAACAGCAATATTTTAACTTAAAGCAATTTTGAATTAGAAAAAACTATTAACTGAAAATGAAAATCAGATTGCTACTCCGATTGCTGTAAAAGTCAAAAAAAGGAAAATTATCATAAATTATAAAAAAATAATGCAATAACTTTCAAACTTTAATAGCGAGCTAAAAAAAGTTATGACTGATAGTCATAATGTGAAAACACATTACACTGCCAAAGTTTAGTACCGATATTAAAAACTTTACTACTTAAAAAAAAAAAAAAGAATAGCAAAAATTAAAATATCCTAATTGCTGCATGAGCTTGAATTTGATGAAAAATGTGAATAAAAAATAATTTTTTTTGTTATTTATTTTGTAAACAAAGAAAAATAACAGTTTTAAAAATAAAACTCTTAAGGCTTTTGCAACTATACCAAATGCATTCTAAACTATTCTCCTGACACGCAACAATCTGTAGTTAAATATTCGTTGTTTGTACAAAAGATTAGAAAATGGATAAGGCTTCATCATGTGAGGCTTTAAACCAAATGCATTATCTCCAACAAACAGGTAGGGCAATATTGTTTCAGCACCATTTACTTTACATGCTTGAGGAATGTCAAGCAGATTATTTTCAATAGCATAACCAAGTTGACTATTTGCATATACACTACTGTCACTTTGTCTTCCAATATTTCCTATATCTAATAGTGAAAACTGATATTTTGCATTACACACAGCCAATGTGTCTTTTTGTAGTTATAAAACGATGAACCAGAGCACACACAATTTTAAATCTTTAACAAAAAGATTCTCTTTTTTGTAAATGAAATTTTCTTATTCAAAATCGCTTCTTATACTTTTTGTGCGATTTGTTTCTTATATGCAATAAAAACTTTAAATAAAGTAATTTTTGTTTTAAAAGCATCCAGCATAAGTATAGCTGCCATTATTTATTATTGAAAAATTTGCTTCGCGTGAATATTTTGTCTTGTGGAAAACGGCCTTAAATCACCTCGATTGTGTCTTTCATTTAGTGAGGTGAGATGAAGATGCGATAATCAGGCTTTGCTGGAAATGCTTTAAGAAGATGAACTTCTTTGGTGGCACGGTTTTGAACTTTTACGATTTTTTAATGTTGTGTGCAAAAAGAGAATTCCATAAAGGAGCAGCATACTCAAGGGAAGCATACAACATACTTCAAGATGAAGTCTGACCAGCGATGTGTAAAGTTTCTTCTAGGCCTGTGCATTTTTATAGCTTTCTTTAGCTGACCGAGGAAAGAATTAGCTTTTGATGATGCTATTTTAACATGCATGTCTCATTTGACGTTGTGTGAAATGCAAATGCCAAGATCTCTTTCATTGTAAGAGGAATTGAGAAACTGCATCCCTTGTGGAGTCAAGATATAGTATTGGTGGTAGTTTATAGTATAGTTTATAGGTTATAGTATAGTTATAGGTATAGGTTATAGTATAGTTGGGACTTTAGTTGAAGTATAAGATAAGGCACTTTTTGTAGTTAAGATGTAACCAATCTTAACCCATAACAAGCAGAACCCATAACAACTGGTTGTGTTCTGTTAGAAAGAAAAGACTTAATCCAATTAAGTAACATATAAGAGACACCATAAACAGAAAGTTTGTGGAGCATAAGATCACGAGGAGGTATGTTAAACACTTTTTTATAATCTAGATATAAAGCATCTACACTATAACCTCTTGCCATTGAATATGAGATCTACAGTTTCCATGCTATCATATTGACTGAATGAGCAACAAGTAATGGACCATAAGGACTTCTATTGTGTAACAAAAAAATTTTTAGAATTGGTTATAATCAGTATATAGTTAAGAATATGTCTCTATTCTTTTTTCTTGTATTCACTATGAAATTTATTCATTATGCTGCTATGATTTTAATAGTTAATATTATGACAGTATACTATACCATGTTCTTGTTTAAAAAAATGAGCTATTGATTTCTTGTTTTATAATGGCAAATAGATGTGACAAATACAGTTTACAACCATTTAATTCTAATTTTTTTCTTAGTCAAACAAATCTCCCACTAAACTATTCAAATTAGTTTTAGTAAAAAACTGTGGCTTTAAATTTTCTGGAGACAAAAGAATCATTACTTTTTTTAATGTTATACAACTCTCCATAGCCAAAAGGGCCCCTACAGTAGAGGAGGCTGCATTTTTTATGTTTGGTTACAACCTCTTAATTTTAAAGTCTGAAACATAAACATTGACAAAGGTTGCTGCATAGTGAAATAAGTTTAGCTCAGAGACTACTACCAGGGGTGTGGTAGGGATTTTGGGTGGGTACTGCAAATTAAAAAGAAAATTCTTACTCTTATACAAATTATTTGTAATCAAATAATCACATTACCAATTTCTACACCTAGATATCAAAATATACTTTTTCACTAAGTTAGTAGTATTCCTTTGGTACATTTTAAGTAACAAGCAAGTATTTAACAAATATGAAAAATACTTGTTGGTTATTAGCGGGTAGAATTTCTTTATTACTTCATTAATTAAAAAAATTTAATCCTGCCCTACTGAAAATTCTCAGACCATTTGTAAACTTTACTAATTCTACTAATACCTAAAAACTTAAGTTTAAAACTGTTTCTAAAACTCAAATATATTTAATAAAATATGAAATTTTATTAAATATATTTGAGTTTAAGAAACAGTTTTAAACCCTAGTTTTTAGATATTTAAATTTTAGTTTTTTTTGTATGTAAAAAATTTAAAGAAATTAGAGTTTAAAAAGCTAAAAACTCATTTTATTGGAAATAACCTTGATGTGATCAATGCTCTGTTTATGTTCACTCATCTTTTTAGCATCAATCAAATGAATTTGGCAATAAAGACAGAAGGCTTCTTTATAAGTACTCTCCCTGTCCTAAAGTAGAAAAAACAACTTTGTGAATATAACTAATGCAACATACAACAAATTAAAAGTAAAAAATAACTATATTTAAATTCTAATAGAAATAAAAGTCACTTTATGCTCTCTTGTCTTTTGATGCGCGTCATGATCTTGAGAAGTGCGAAACTCTTTATAATTACATATACGACAATAAAATTTACTCTTGGGAACTGGCCAATATGCTCGCATAACACTTTCATATATGCCCAAAATATATGAATCAAGATCTACAGACGTTGCTTTTAACTTCATCTCTTCCTCGGCCTAAAAAAAGAAACAGTATCTTAAAACTTAAAACTTGTAACATCTTTATCCTATCCACCTAATATATTGAACCATGTTCCATGAATCCATTAAACTAAGTGTCTTTCTTTTTGTTTCTGTTGTAAAACTTAATCCATATATGAAAAAAAAATTGTTGCAAAATTTTTGCGTAAAATGTTGAACAATTTCAAAATATTACTATTTTTATACAGACCTGTTTTCTACTTTTCCCAAATTTTTATTTTTTACTTGTTTTTTAAAACGTATTAACATTTCAAATTAATTTAAAAATCAACCTTTCATACTATCATCCTACTATAATATCTAAAACATTTTAAGTAGTAATTTTAAACAGTTATAAACTTTTATCTAATGATATTTATACATTAACTATTTATTTGTGAGAGCTTAAAGTAAGTTTTATTAAATATTATCTAATTAATGACTTTAAAAGTAAATAATTGCATATAAAGTAATACAGAAATTTATACTTCTACTATTGGTATCATATATAATGGAGCAGATGCGTTTGGACCAGATATTCTATTTTCTAGGATTAATTGTGCTTGCTCTTTTTTTAAACAATATAACTCATCCAGCTAAATTAAAAATAAATAAATAAATTAACTAAAGCAAAAAAAAAACCATCAGAATTAAGGTCGGTCAGAAATTTTGGCAACCTCAAAAAGATTGAGGTTGGCAAGTTATTGTCGACCTTACTTTTCCTAACTCCGAGGGTTGAAACAAATAAATATCATATTACATTTAACTAAATAAACATAAAACCTCTAAAATGCCAAATATATAAACATAAAACCTCTAAAAACCAAATATATAAAACCCTATTTTGATTATTATTATTATTAAATATTATGAACCTTATTCAACTAAAAAGAAAATGTAACAGTTGATTAAATGGTTGTAATTTTCTAGCGCAGACACATTTTAAAATAAAAAACTTTAATAAAATACATTTCAAAATAAAACTTTTTAGTAATTTTATTATTAATGTTTAATTAAAAATATTTAAACTTTTTAACAAATATCGAATTTTAATGTTTCCTACAATGCACAAAAAGTTTAAACTTTAGTATGATTTTTAATTGGTTGATTTGAAAATAATCTCACATATTTTCGGACATTTAGTAATTTTTATTATCATTATTTTAATATTTATAATACTATAATATTGTTATTATTTTAATTTTTATAATCGCTTATAATTAATACTTAATTTAACGCTGCCACTGCTGCCCATTCGTGCATGCTAACACAGACTTTTTTACCATTTATTATAAATAGGATTTTGCATGCTTCTTCTTTACATATTTTTGAACTCACACGATGAGTTACTCTCATACCTTAATAATCTGTTAATATACGCCTAATCAGTAATATGATCAAAAACTTTGCTTCATCAGCTTAATTAGTGATAAGATCAACAGTTTTTATTTGATAACTTCTGTAGTAAAGGATAAACCTTTGTATTTAAAGTATATTATTCTGTATTTTTTAATTATAAGACAATGATGACTCTAGAAAATGTTGCTTTTTTCAAAGGTCAAACTCTTGATAAAGTTAGTGTCTATCTCCAAAACCCTTGCATTTCACATGGTCAACTCGATGATTTGATTATTTGTTTTTGAAAGTTGTTAAACATTTATTACGAGGTATGTTATTAAACAAATATTACATAAATAAGGTTTTATTTTTAAGGATTCTAATTTACATATTTTTATTAGTTTATATATTTATTTTTATTTGTGTGTTAATTATTATGTGTTTATATGTGTTAAGGTTATATGGGTTTATATTTTGTAAGTGTGTAAATATCTTCTACATATGAGTGTTTCTATGTTTGTGATATGTTATTTGTTCATAGTTTGTAAATGGTTATTATGCTGTTTGCATGGATTCAAATTGTTGTGACATAGCTAAGCTATGTCATAATAATTTTACAGCAAGAGTGTTGACCTTGCTAGCCAAGTGGTGTACTTTGCTATAATGTGACTTAGCTTTGTTGGGAGCAAGATTGTTGTCCATGTCAATTAAGTGGTGTACTGTCATGATGTAACACATAAATTAAATCTGTTTGTAATTAGTGTAGTCATAAAAGTGTTGAAAAAATATTGTTGAAAGAATGTGTTTATACGAAATGTTGAAAAGATATATAGTCTTTTAATATCTACAATATCTATAATTTTTTAAATATTTATAATTTTAAGTAAATTGTATTAAACAGATTTATGCTTCATTAAATATTTTTTATACTGTTACTTTTTAAAAATATTTGTTTAAAAATATATACTTTGTTCTTTTTTGTTAATAATTTATGCTTTTTATGATAAATTTTGTTAAAAAACTGGCTTCCTATTTGTAAAATGTGTTAAAAAAATGTTGTTATGCTCTGTTCTTTTTTTTTAACAATTTATGTGTTTGAGGATTATAAGTTTTGTTAAAAAGCAGGCCTTACTAATAGCTCCTCCCCATTAAAACGTTTAAGAGTTTCAATTTCCTTCATTAAATATGTTCAACATAAATTTTTTTTATATATAAAGGTAAGTATACAACATGTTAAAACATAAGTTTTAGTAACTTTCATTGAATTTTCAGGATTTTTTGTATAGAGAATGTTTTCTATATATTATTATTTTAATGTTATATATATATATATATATATATATATATATATATATATATATATATACACATATATATATATATATATATATATATATATATATATATATATATATATATATATATATATATATATATATATATATATATATATATATATATATATGTATATATATATATATATATATATATATATATATATATATATATATATATATATATATATATATATATATATATATATATATATATACATATAAAAATTATGTTTGTATATTATAAAAATAGAGTGGTCAATGTTCTTAAAGGGACCCGCAACTGCCGAGACAAGTTGTGTTTATATTAAAATGTTTAAAAAAAACATTTGGGCTGAATTTTTTTGATTGAAACTAAATAATGAACTTTTTAGTTGAAGCTTGCCGTCTCTATTTTTTTTTGGTTCTTGGGATCAGTATAATGTTAGCAGCAATCTGCAGACTTGATAATTTATTCAATGCGTGTTTAATTCATAACAGTTTTGGTATATCTCATCGCAATATCTTTTTAAGATCATTTTTTTGTTGTTGTTTTTTTAAAGATATATGTATTTTTTCTACTGCAATCAGAAAATCATATATTTGTATAATTTTTTACTGTCACAAGTATTTTTTTTAGAAAAAAAAATATTTGTGACAGTAAAAAATTATACAAATATATATATATATATATATATATATATATATATATATATATATATATATATATATTTTTACTTATAAATTTTTTATTGTTACTTTTTTGTAGAAGCCAGCCAAAATCATGACACAATTATACATATTTTGTGATTATTAGAGTTCGCAGGCAGAGAAAAAATAAAGGCAGTATGATGTGGTTTTTTGTTTTATATTTAGTTCATATGGTTCAATAGAGTTGTTCATTTTATTTTTAATTTACATTTAGCTATGGTTTAACTCTTTTACTACCGCAAGCCACTGGTACCGGCTTTCGAGTATGCTTTACAATTTATCTTGTTTTGTACATAAATTTCCATCCTAGACAAATAGAATTTGTTTGTTCTGAAGATTTAATTAATTCTCTACATAATCAAGAAAAAATAAGTGCTATATTGTGTAATTATAAAAGTTATCACAAAGTTAAAATATCTTGAATAATCCTTCATAAAAAAAGCTTTAAATTTAGTTTAAAACAGCATTAATACTGTAAAACTTGTAAAAGTGTTAAAAATTTAACTTGTAGAAGTGTTAAGAATTTAGTTAAGTAATTACCTAAGTATTTTGAAGAAAAATTATAATTTTTATTCATTAAATGATTGTTTTGGACTTGTTAATGTTTTAGTTACTACTTACAAAAACAATAGTTTTAAGCACTTTGCATTTATTATTGTTTAATGATGCGTGTTAAAAACTTTTTAACATAGCATAACATTGACAATTAAAAAATTAATTGTCAATGTTATGCTATTCAAATGTTATTCAAAAAAATGTGCAGTTGCTACAAAAAGATTTTTGTTCAGCTGGCAGCAAACAATTCAATGCGATTCTTTGTTTTTATACTTTTATTTTATACACTTTCTTGTATATTTTAGTACAAATACTTGTTTTATTTTTAATTTAGTTTGATTTGAACGGTTATTAGTAAAATTTTTCTACTTAGTTTATATGTTTTATTCAAGCCACTCGTTTTTTTTTTTTCAGTTTATACTTTAAATTTACTTATACGCTTTTGTGAAATTAGTCTTTTAGTATCTAGTTTATATTGAGTTTAAACCACAACTTTTACTGTAAATATTCGTTATATATTAAATTTTTATTTTTATAAATTTTATAAATTTAATTTTTAATTGCATCATAAACTTTTTTTGGGATTTAATAAAAAGTTATACAATTAACATGATTTGGTGATTTTGGCAAAAAAATAATACGACATCTTTAAATAAAAATTTTATACGCTGACATCATATACCGAAACTGTTATGAATTAAACACGCATGGAATAAATTATCAAGTATAAATAATAATAATTTATATAAATATATAAATTATCAAGTCTACATTATACAGAAAAAATGAAGATGGTGAGCTTCAACTAAAATGTGAATTTTAAATTTTATGGTGTGCATTCATTATATAGTTTTAATCAAAAAAATTTAGCCCAAATGTTATTTTTAAACATTTTCTTTAATATGAACACAACTTGTCTAGACAGTTGGGGAACCCTTTAAAGAATAGAGCAATAATAAATTAGATTAAACAAATTATATATATATATATATATATATATATATATATATATATATATATATATATATATATATATATATTTATATATTAATATTTTTGCATTAAATTATTGACATTTTTCTTAAGAATATTAAATATATATAAAAAAAAAATTAAATTAGTTAAAGAAGTTTCAATATTCCCAAGTTGCTTCACTTGAAGCAAATATATGATTGTCTATAGAGATTTTATTTTAATAGTTTTGTATTTATTTATTTATTGCAAATCTTGCATTAAATGCGTTTTTCAAAGTAATGAAAGGGTTTTTATGATGGATGATTACATTTTATCATTACATGCTAGCAGTACTTGCTGAACCTTAAGGCTTTATAATTTATAATTTTTTCAATTTGCTTTATTTATGAGTTCTTAAATGTAAAAGATTTTTAAGCTACTTGTTATTGTTTTTTTGATTAAATACTAATAATATTTTGTCAACTAAATAAATTAATAACAACCACCTTAAATATATAACAGTACTCAGTTAAAAAGATTTATTATATCAATTTATTTATAACTTTAGTTAAAGTTCTTGATATAAATATGTTATATTTACACATTGCTCAATTATTAAAACATCTAATTTAAATATGACTAATAGTAGAGTAGAATATAATTAGATTATTATATTATGCTGCTTTATTTGCTTACACTGTATTATAAATGAGTTTAAGAAAGGAAACTCAAAGTTCAATTTAAAAATTAAAGTTTAACTTTTATTATTTTAACCATCATTTTTACACACACTCCTTTGATGCATTATGCCTGATAATTTAAGAAGTGAAATTATTAGACTTACTCAAAATAAAAGAAACCAGCTTAGACGAGCTGAGATAAATTGTAATCAAAATGAAAGAAATCAGGCTAGATGAGAATTCAATAGGCATAATATGCATCACATAGCAAATTTAGTTATTTTATTTCTTTAGTTCTACTCAAGTGCTCTACTAACTATCATGTTTACTTTGTCTACTGTTAAAATATGGTTTTAACTTAGTATTATTATTAAAATTTGCTAAGTTGATCATTAGCTAATAGTTTTAAGGGAAATTAGTTGTCACAATCAAGGTAAGAATAATTTTAATTTGTGATCAAATTGCAAAATTTGTTTGCACCGATAGCTATTATTTTTTTGTTGTTTTGTTAATAGCTGATTGTTTTTGCAATAAATGTCTTTTCTTACAGATTTTGACTATTTTTACCAATGCTCTGGAAAAAGCATCAGCAACACAACCCTTAGAATTAGGGTCAGCATTCGGCAATGCCGACCTAACTGCCAATATGAAAGTGTTTGAGATTGGCAAAAATTTGCCAACCTTGTTTCTATGTTTTATGGTCAGACCTTTGTATTAAACAATTTTTGTTGACCTCACGCCAACCTCAAAAAGATTGAGGTCGGCAATAATTTGCCGACCTCATTTTTCCTAATTCAGAGGGTTGGCAACAGGTAAATTGGTTATAGTGTTAATATTTAATGTTTTTACTTCTTTTTTGTCTTAGTTTTTTTATTTTAGACATCTTACAATGCCTTTTCAGCTTAATGCAGATCAAATAGAGGGCCCACATCTCATAAGGCACATAAGATGTGGGCACAAACTTTGGCCCCCTCTGCCTCCCTTCTTTTTTTTTTTTTTTAAAAATTAAATATAGTGTTGATCCTGTAGAAAGTTAAGTATGAAAAGAGACTTGGGGTAAAAAAATATGCTGCATCTATAATTAGTATTTCTGTAGTTGGTTAATCTACCAATTGGTAATTGATAATGCAGGCATTCACAGAAAGGCGTGCGATTTCACATCTTTATATGACCACGCAAAAAATAATGTTTTAACGATTTGACCACGGCATATTTTCAAAATTTAAAAACGCACTACAAAAACTTACCTAAACTTATCTGAAAAAAAAATTGTAAAAAAAAAAAAAATCTTAGTATCGATCTTAAATTAAATAAATTGTTACTTTATTTAAGATCGTTTCGCTAATATAAAAACATTTGTTAAGAAGTTTTGATGTAATTAGTTTCACTTTTTTAGAATATTTTTTATTTAGCGCGTTTTCAAAATGTTTTTTGAATTAGCCGCAGTCAAACCGTCATAGCAAAATATAACTTGCGTGGTTATACAAAGATGAAAAATCACACGTCTTCCTGTGAAAGCCTGTAATGCAAACTATTTTTTGTAAATACTTACTTTTCTTTATATATATATATATATATATATATATATATATATATATATATATATATATATATATATATATATATATATATATATATATATATATATATATATATATATTTTTTTTTTTTTATTATGTATAAATAAATTGATTTCCAGTTAATACATATTGCGTATTTTTTTCCTTTTTTAATTCGATTACTTTTTAGATTAATAACATGACGAGTTTGTTCAATATAGGCATACAATTAAAAATATTAAAAATTGTTATGTTTTTTTATTTTGTTAATAAATGTGTAAATAAAAATATCTTTAATTTTACAAAGCCATTAGGCATTTCTTTTGAAACCATAATCCTTCATTATTCGTATTTTATCTGAACGAAAGTCTTTGCAAATATCTGACATAAACTTCAAATTATGTAAATTATTAAAAATTATATTAAATGTTAGACATTTACTTTTACTTGAAAATTTTATTAGGGCGATACTTTCTTAATTTTGATTTATATGAATTTTTATAAAGCATGTAATGCCGTTTTATAAAGATTAATAAATAATTTAATGCCCTTTTATAAAGTTAAATAAGTTTTTAGTTTATTAAACAGTGTTATAATATTGTAGCATGCCAAAGTGGTAGAAGTAATTTGCATGGGTCTAAACTTTTTCGTTTTGACACTTAATTTTTTTTTATCAAAGTAAAGCAATTTTAAAGGTCTATAGAAATTATATGCATATCATATATAAAGATAAACTATAAAAAACGAAAGACAGAAAATTTTTTAAAAAGCTTTTTAAAATTTCTAAAAACGCAAAAACATTGTTCGAAGTTTGCTGTACATGTATGTTACGTTAGAGTTTAAGGTTTCAATGTGCATAGTAATAGATTAAGCGTGCGCATTAAAAAGATAATTTTCTTTTTTATAGAAAAAAGAATTTACACGGAAACTTTACTTTTCTTTAAAATTAACAAAGCAAGAGTCTTAATAACAGGGATCTTTTTCCGAATTTTTCTTAACTTTTTCCCGATAGCCAAATTGTATTCTTTACATATCCAAGTTTAGGAATACATACTTGTAATATATTTATTTTTTAGGCTTTTACACTCATCGCTCATACTAAAATTAAAAAAAATTTTAAATAACTCAGCTAAAAGCAAAATTAAGAGGAAAATATAATCCAGATATTTTACACAAACAATTTTCCGCATTTTTTTAAAATAACCTGGATGATCTATAGAATAAGCTGCTGATAGCCTAAAAAAAAGTTAATAGAAACTTATTATAGAAAAAAATAATAAGGTCTATCCACGTTTTACATATATATATATATATATATATATATATATATATATATATATATATATATATATATATATATATATATATATATATATATATATATATATATATAAAAAAACTAGATGAATAAAAGTTTTTAGAGCATGCAGGGACAGATACAGTAAAAGAATCAGACTTAGCTAAATGACGAGTAAAACGAGAATGAATTTTAGTTGATGGAGAATGAATTTTAGTTGATGGAATAATTATACGAGTCCGTTATTCCACATATTTAAGTCATCTCATATTTTTTGAAACTTTTTATACCAATGGTATTTAATTTCAAGCGGGTGTTCTAAATATTATTTAGGCTGAAAAACTGATATCCGATTCGTTGATAAATAGTGATTCGCGCAACACCTACCGAAATGTTAAAAGTTTTTTAAAGTTAAATATAATACAAAATTTATCTTATAGCTTTAAAAAGTAAACAATAAGTACTGTTATTATATATGTATTTAATTATTTTTCTACCTCTTACTAAAATACCTTGAAGTAAGGAATAAGTATAGAAAAGGTTGGTGTGGAATAGATTTACCAAGACCTGTATTTTACGGGTCATGACAGCTTATTTACTATACTGTTATTATTTTAATTTTTATAATACTTGAATTAGGTGTTTAAATGAACAATAAATAAAAATTTGTACATTGTGATTGTTAACATTTATGCAGTTGTAAATTTATTGTTATATTTTATGAATATGATAAATTGACTTTTCCATTAAATAATTTTATGAATATGATAAATTGACTTTTCCATTAAAACTAAGAATTTAAAAAAGTATTTCCAGATATCACAATTTGCAATCACTTAATTTGCGCCTAGTAAATAAGGAATTTACCTCTTTATGCCACAAAGTATTATAGTGATTATTTAACTTTTCTTCACTCAAAAAATTAATTTTGCATATACCACATGAGTGATGCCCAATACCACCTGGTTTATGGCGCAATCCATCTTCTCCCTTACTTTGCAAAAATTCCTTACGAGCAATTTCTAAACAAACTTGTGAGACATCTTGGTTTTTACCTGTTTTCTTAATCTAAATAAAAAAAATGTAACAAAGCAATCTGAATCAATGCAATGTTACGAAAAATGACAATATATACACATTTTGTCTCTCTCTCTCTCTCTCTCTCTCTCTCTCTATATATATATATATATATATATATATATATATATATATATATATATATATATATATATATATATATATACACACACAAATAGTATTGCATACTAAGGTAAGCAATCTGACGTCATACTGAAATAGCCTGCTGCTGGGGGCTTCAGTACATAGATCAACTGACAAATAGCCTGACTCGAATTGGAGTGCTGCTACATTGACTACAACGAAGAATGATGAATGAAACGATTGCTTCCTCATCTTTGGGATGAGGAAGCAATCGTTTCATTCATCATTCTTCGTTTTTTCTTCTTTATCAAAAAAAACGGTATAGCTTAATGTAAGCAGAAAAAGTGAGCAAATGCTTATCAAAACACGCTTTAGTAAGTGTGTGTGTGTGTGTGTATATATATATATATATATATATATATATATATATATATATATATATATATATATATATATATATATATATATATATATATATATATATATATATATATATATATATATATATATATGTTTCTATTATTCATAATAAACTACCTTTTGAAAGAACTCATCTGAAACATCAGCCGCAAGAGCTCTCTAAAATAAAATTTTAAAAGCTTGAAAAAAAAAAGTGTTTAATCTTTGCTCTTCGAGATAATCCTTTTATTAGAGATTTGGAAAATGTTTATTATTTTTTTATTTATTATATTGTATTTAAAAATAATAACAGTTAAAAGCAAGAGTTATATAAAAACTTTATGATTTTACGGAAACCTAATCTTACTAAAAGCAATGTTTAAATCATTGATTTTTTTTTGTTTCGTTTTATCTAAAAATTAAAAAAAAAAGTTGTTTTTTTCCCAATAAAATCATTATTGATTCTAGAAATAAAACTTTACCAAAGAAAAACAAAGAAATAGAATTTTATGTAATAAATTTTACTATTAAAACAAAACATAATATGAAAACTAAAAGATTTTAATGAATTGTGTATTCACATTTTAAAAATTAAAATTTTCACCTCTCTCATAGCTCTATCAGCTTCTTTTGGTTTTTTGCTATCTTTAAGGGATGATTTATCTGTGTCACTTGGACTGGTATAATTTGTAGAACTTCCTCTATTTTGTTTGCTATTTTTTCCAACTCGATTCATGTTTCTTGAGCCTGAGCTGGAACGACTTTTTGGAGAGTTGTTTTGTGGTCGGGTATTATTCTAAAAAAAATCTGAAAAAAGTAAGAGAAATAAAAATTCAAACAGCAAAAAACTTTAATTTTTAAACTTGAACTTTACTTTTATATATGTGTGTGTTTGTGTGTGTGTGTGCATATATACATATATAATTTTATATTTATTCATAATTATTATTATTGTTTACAATAAGATTTATAATTTATAATATATAATTTCAAGAAGATAGTAATGATAAAGCCTTTTACAATATAAAATTTTATTATTTTTTACAATAAGAATATCTATATATCTTATAAAATTAATATATAATTAAAATATATAACCATTAAATGTATCATAAATTAAATAATGTACATAACTCCAAAGAAAAACTCACAATATATCAAAACAAATCAATATGTAGCATAACAACTGAAAATATTTTAAAAAATCAAAAAAATCAAGACTATTTTGTGGAAAAAATATTTTTTTTATAGATTGTTTGAAAAAGTAATAGGTTTATTGAGTTAAAAAAAAATAAAAAAATAAAAGAAATTAAGCAATACTATTTCATTCCAGAGAAAAGATTCACATTAAGACATACAAAATTAAACATGTTTATTTTTGCAAATAGGTTTTTCTAGAATGCTATTATTGAGTAGATTACATTGGCTTTTGGGTTAAATTTTGTAAAGATTCACAAAAACATAAGGGAAAGTTCTTTACGCTTCTACATAAGGCATAAAACATTATATACATTTAGTTGATAAATATTTCAGGAGTTCATTTTCTTTAAAAAGGAGTTCAGAATTCGAAAAATGATTTTTAAATTTATTATGTGAACTGTGTTTCTAATGCTGATAAAGAGATTTTAGTTAATTTGTGTACTTCCCCATATGGGTAATTCCATGTCAAATCAGCAGAAAAAAACAAACAATGTCACTCCATGTTTTGGATTTTGCTAATTTTTTTATGTTATAGGGTTTATAAAAATTAGGAAAATCTGAAATTTGGAACCTGTAACTCCAGTTACAGTTCTTGAGATATTCAATTTTCTTATTTATGATCCAAAATACTTTTTTGTTGTTAATTAGCAATATTTTATGAACCAAATGAGGTATCATCCTGAAATTTTGTACATAGACAATCTTCCACATGGCAGTTACATATTTCAAATTAAAAATTTTTTGACCACCTTAATTACATGTAAATTAGATAATAAAGGCATATATTTTGAGGTATTTCAACAGCCAAAATAGTGATGTCACCTTGATTATTTTTTTGAGGCATTGTTATAACTTACAATAGAGGTACCAAACATCATTGTTAATAAAAAATATATTACTGCATTTTCAACTTTATTAAATGCAGCCTTTTAAGTAAAGGGGGTGGGGGGTCAATTAAGCATTTTACTAACTCCCCTTTCTTTTTTTCTTTTTTCTTTTCTTTTTTTTGTTAAAAACATAAAAACAAGTGACTATGATAATTTTTTTGAGTAGCTAAATTGTGCCAATTACACATACAATTACACATACTCACATAAAGTTATATCTTAACTAAATTAAAAAAAATAACATACAAATATAAAAATAATAATGCATTAGAAATTTTTTATATAAATCTTTATTATTGTGTTCAATAATTTTTTCTAACATTGTTTCAGAAATTTTATATATGCGACTTTGTTGTAGATGGCAGATCAATGGTACTTAAAATATGATTTGATGGGACCCAACACATATTTTCTTGTGGGGGCCAAGAAAAAGTTGGCTGGGACCATGTGGATGCATAAATTGAATTTTATGATCTACTACTTGTGTACTTCTTCCATTAAGGCTTATTCAAAGTTGATTCACGCATTGAATATGCTTTTTTTAAAGTGTAACTTTAGTCTGTGTAGGTTTAAGTCTAGAATAAACAGTCCATACTGTTCAGAAAACTGACAATAAATTGTTCAGCAAACTTGGATGATGGAAACCTTGGTTCAATAGGAAAGAATTTTTTAATAAAGCAAATAATAACTTGTTCTTATTCAAAAGAGTTAGAACAAAACAAGAGTTTTTTACTATTTTAATGTATTTTATACACTAAAATATAGGTCTATGCTGAGGAAACTAAGACGTAAAGTAGTATTTGAATACTAATTTCTGTCTTTTCAGTTTTCTCAACAATTTGATGAGTTTATTTTAAATTTGAACACACATGAAGAAGCTTTAAACATTAAGAAGAATTCTTATGTTACTTTTAATGGAAGAAGAGTTTAATTTATCATTAACTTTGACATACTGCTCAAGACCCAGAAGAACAATTATTCACTTTTTGTTAGATTATGTAAAATATTTACAGTAATATTATAAAGTTTTAAATTTTTTTTGTTGCTTAATATTTTGTTTAACTTATTTGACATTTATTTTTAAAAGAAAAATTTAACAGGCACCTAAAATGGTAAAATAGGCTTATGTACCCCTCAATTTTACCCTTTGCCCCATTTGTGACCCTTAGCATTTTTTTTTTAACTTTAAAAACGCTATTTTCTATTTTTATGAAACAAATACTCTTGATTAAATTTTTTTTTTGTAATTTGCAACTAGCACACATAAATGGGCTTATGCCCTCCTTGTGTTTACCTATTTGCCCCATTTATGACCCTTAGCAATTTATTCGGATTTTAAAAAATCTCTCTTTTATTGTTATTAATACAAATACTTTTAAATAAAAAAGGTTTCACTTAAGTGACACTCCATTAAACCTAAACTCATCTCTGGTCCACAGTGTAAAACATTACGATTGCTTCTTTGAATAGCGTGCCAATTTTTTCAAATTTTCTAATTTTTCTTAAAGTAAAGCAATATTTTATTGCATATTAAAAACACTGTTAAAACTTTTAAAAAGAATTTTTAAGTTTTGCTAAAATGTACATAATCTAATAGAATGTATAAAATTACTATCTTTATTATAGTTTTCATTTTTTTATTGGGCATTTAACAACACCAATAATATGATATTTTTATTAACTTATTATATAATACTTAATATGATATTATTTTTAAAAGTTTTCAAAAAGAAATGTCAAAATAATTTTTATTTTACTTTTTAATAATACTCCTTATATTTGAATTTCTTTAAGCTTATACATTTTTTTATTTCTAAATAAATTTAGTGAACTAAATTGAGAAAAATTCATTATTTAGTGTCAATGGATTACAAATTACAATGGCCATTGTATACAAAAGTCATTGCATATTAATTATCATTAATTTGTGTGCACTTTGCAAATGCGTAAAAAGTTGTTTAAAAAAATAAAAATGGCATAAGTTCAATAAGCATCTTTGATATATCTAATAACTAGAATAAAAATTATTTGAAAAAAAAATAGTTCTTTGTTTTAACAACTTGACCATGGCTCTTTGCAAGTTTTGATAATTAGCGCATTTAAAAAATACACTAAAAGAAGACAAAGCAAATGTAAATGCAATTTTTAATTTAATTGATTCCATAATTACAATTAAACTGCCACAAAATTTCCTAAGTACTTTAATGCAACTTAATAAAAGCAATCGTTGAAAAAAATATTTAGATTAGAGTTTAAGGCAAAATGAGTACAGAAGCTATCAAAAAATAATTACAAACCTTTTTATCATTGAACTTTGAACCTAACCTAAACCTAACATTAAAACTTTTTATCATTGAATTTTTAATAATAAAATTAATTACTAAAAAAAATAATTACAATAATCTAGAAATAGTCCCACTTGCCAACTATTTTTTATCCCAGGGCGTGACGTACCGTTTTTTTTAATAAACGTTGACTAGCATATCTTTATTTATTGACCAACATCTAATTTAAGAGATTTATGTCAAACAAATTTCAAATAATTTTTATTCTAGTTAATAAGTTATCAAATATATCAAAGATGCTTGGTAAATTTATTTAATTGTTTTTTTTCAAAAACTTTTTTTTTACACATTTGTAGAGCGCGCGCAAATTAACGATAAACGCACAATAAAAAAAACTTTTAAAAGTGTTTTTAATATGCGAACAAACATTATTTCAGTTTATGGAAAATAAGAAAAAAAAAAGCATGCACAATTTTATTTATAATGAAATCATTTGCTTTAAACTTTTAATGTAATTGCTAAAAGCAGAAAAGAAACCAAGCTTAAACTTTACGATCGCTTTTTTCAATAAAAGAAAGCAATCAAATTATTTAAGGACGGTTTCTTTTGAAGTTTTTGCAAAAGCATTTATTTTAACTGAAAATATCAAATTTTTGTGAGCGCATGCAAAAACCATGCTAAAACATAATTACTTTTTCTATTTATTTTACTTAGAAGTGACGCTATTGAAAAAAGTAATTATGTTTTGGCATTTTTTTAAAATAAACAAAAAAATATTTTGGTGTTTTTTGTAATAAATAAAAAACTATTGATCGCAAAATTATTTTGGAGAAACTGCTGAAGTAACGCGTTTGTTTTGAAAAATCTTAATAAAGATTTTTCAAAACAAACTTGTATTAGCCTATTTATTCATGAGAAGGAATGATAAAGATTATTAGAGCTGTGATTTTTTCACTTTTGCTTCCAATTAAGTTTAAATTAATACGTGTTTTGATTTTTTTCTGGTTTTTCCTTTATTTATTTTAACATTCTTTAAATATTTTACTTTTTTAGGTTAATTTTTGTTATATATATATTATTTTAAGGATTTTATTCTCTTTTCAGTTTATGGATTGTTTATTTTAATTTGCTTTGTTTTTTTTTGCGCAATTTTTAAATGCATTAATTATCAAAACTTGCAATGAGCCGTTGTAAAGTTGTTAAAACAAAAAACTATATGCGTGGTCATATAAAGCGTGTGATCCCAAGCCTCTTACGAGAAGGCCTGATATATACATATACACACATATATATACACACACACACATATATATATATATATATATATATATATATATATATATATATATATATATATATATATATATATATATATATATACATATATATATACAAATAGTATTGCGTACTAAGGTAAGCAATCT